TTATAGAAGATAATAATGAAAATACTGTAAAAATAGATACTAGAATTTTAGTGAACTTTAAAAAAATAAAAATAGTATAATATAGCAGTTAAACAGATAACTTCTGTAATTGCAAATGTTAGATAACTCTAATTTGTTATATAAAATTAGATTAGTATATATAGAATATAAAGACTTTAGTAAATTTTTTGTTAAGAATAAAATAGTTTTAAGAGTACTAATAAAGATCAGAAACTTGAATAGGCAGCATTCTAAAGATATTCTTGTGATACAAGATAGATTGCATATGCAAAAGGTTTAAACAGACAAAAACCTTAGCTGGCTTGCAGATATGACATCTAGTATAGAACTTATATAGTAATATATAAACAAATTACTTAAATTAAGCACCAAAAGTACATATATGGCTAGTTATAACCTTTTATATAATGAAAACTTTAAAGACATCTGTGTCTTATAAACTTGAATAAAAATTACTTTCTAAAAGTAGAAACTTTAATACAAAAAAAAAGATTAAAAAAAATAAAAAAGACAGAAAAAAAAATAAAAAAACATAATTTAGTTTAATAAAAAATTATATATATAATAAAGTAAAACTATTTTTATATAGTCTTTTAAGTTAGTATAGTTAATGCTATTAAAAGTTTGATTCTATCCATCTGAACTCCTCAAATAGAGACTTTAATCAGAACTTGATTCTTAAGTTGATCCTCAAGTAAGGTTAAATATAATAATATGTAGATAATAATGATTTACTAATATATATTATCATATATAAGTCAGTATAAATTAGCCAATCAAATAACTAATTTCTTGGACAAAAGAAATGTAGACTTCTACATTTGAACTTTATTTGAAGTCAACTCTGAGTCAGTTCTAAGAAGTCTCTGTCTAGTTAACTTAAGAATCTAGTCCAACAAGCTTTTTTATAGCCCTAAGTATAGTACAACATCTGAATTTAAGTATTACTCTAATCCATATAACAGACCACTTATAAGTACTCATTAAAATAGCCAAAAGATGTCAAATTAGAAAATTAAATTAAAGTATATTTTTTTTTTAAATATTAAGATAAGTACTTATGACTTAGGATTTTATTAATAGTATATTTAGCTAATGATTGCATTACAATCACAAGAAGCAATCATGAAAAGAGTATACAATTAGCTACTTATACAACTTTAGTTATTGTTTAATTTAAGTAGTCTGTCCAAAGGTTCTATACTAGCTGCCATACCTGAAACTTGCTTGTAGATTTTCTATTTAACCACTCTAGTTTTTATATCTACCCATCTACCTCTGCCTACCAACAACCTTAGCTAATGCCAATGAAAATATGTTATAGCTACTAAGTCTTTAAAGCAGTTTTTTGAAACCTTTGATCTTGTACTAAACCTTTCAGAATCTTCTGTATCTTATTCTTACAGCTGATCTAATATCACTATGGCCAAGACCAACACTGATGATCAAGACATATCATTAAATCACTATGCTTTTATAGAGTTCACTCCAACCCTGGTACTAACTTCACAACATATTCTTACTATTTTGGTATTCAATTCAAGTTCCATCAAGCTGCTATTTCAGATAGTCTAAAAAGATAGATTATGATCATACATTTCTAGTTTACATATTTGTTAGCATGTATTCTTTTTTTCTGAAATCTAAAAATTCTGATAGTCTGGTTGTTTCATTTGATTTCTTCTTAAAAACTGGCATATTTGCTCAGTTTCACAAGTTCTAGCTATGTTTTATAAGTCTAGTCTTTACAATAGCATTGTTAAAAGTTTGCGTTATCTTTCTACTTAGGTTTTCCAAGTAGGTTTTCATTTTTCTTTATTTGGTTCTTATGATTTACATGACCATGAGGACTTATTGTAAGTTTGTACTACCTAGTACTAGTTTGCATTCCTTTATGTAACTACAGACCTTGTTCTAAAGGACAATGTTATATAACTGTTATATAAATATTATGTAACCTGCCAGTCATGCTAGTGTAATACAGATAACAAATATCTTATTTCAACCAATTGCAAGAAACAGTTAACTATAACACAAGAAGGATTTTCGAATTTTTCGTTGATATTAGGATTTGAACTCTGGATCTGCTACTTAAGAGTTGACAATCTGATTACTTTACTAGGTCATCACACCTCTAGATTAAAGTATATACAAATATATAAATACAAATTTTAATAAAAGTTAATAGCAGAAGTGTAGTAACCTAATGAAGTAGTTTGATTGTCAACTCTTCAAGTGGTAGGTTAGGTATTCAAATATTATCAATATTGAAAATTTAGATAATTATCTATATAATATTTATATTGTTAACCTGTAGTTTTTTCTTTAATCACAGTAATACCAGAAACTGTTAACTATAGTATAATGACTATAATTTGACAGATTCTATACAAAGTCTACACAAGACTTATCAAAATACAGAGTAATTTGGAATTTTAAAATAGAGACAACAATAGATAGTATATGAAAATACTAAATATTGTATTCAGTTTATTCATTATTAAAATGTATGAAGACACTTAACTTTCTTAAAAGAACAGAAAGCAGTACTTATATAGATATTTTAAATATATAAATAATTACAATAAAGTTAAGTTATTTTAATAGAATATGCTAAATATAGTAATACATAATAAGAAATATTAAAAATATAAAAGATATATACTATATATTATATATAAGAGATATTATATATATAAGAGAAATCTAATAAATAATATATATATAATATATTTAAGAAATTTGATATATGTAATATCTATGCTTTTTGAGAGATTTGGGACTTAACTAATTTAACTATTTATATTCAAGTCATATGTACTAAAATTAGTACTTTATCAAAATTATCCTAATCTTGTAATATTGTAATCAGAATCATATGATTTTGTGCTCATTAGAACCATTTCAATGAGCTAAATCCAATAGTAGTTGTTTCATCCAAATTGGTTTAGTACATCAAAAATTATAATCAAAAATATATAAACTTTTAATATTAACAGTATTATGACTACTGTTACTAATAATTAGATTAGAATACCTGTAATAGTAGTTGCACTAATATGACTAGCAAGTTATAAGTTATCTATACAATGTTGAAGTTATATAGAGAAATGCAAACTAATAAATCAAGTAGTACAAACATTAGATAAGTTCTTGTGACTGTATAAATCTATTGAAATTAGGTAACAAAAAGTTCATTTGGGAAGATCTAAGTAGAGAGGTAGTTAGATCTTTGATGATCTTATTATAAAGATTGGTCTAAAAAAACAGATATCAAGGTCATAATATTCAATCATAGTAACTGAATAGGCAAGAATCTCTAGGTTGGAAGTCTCAGAGGTACTATCAACTAGGCCACTAGAACAAATTAGAAGAAAAGAATATTAGACTAATCTGATATATTGATGAACTGATCATATTTCTATATAAGTTATCTGAATTATAAGTTTGATAAAAAGACAGATGAAAAGACAGAAGTATATTAAAATACTGAGGTTATGCTGTGAAGAAGATGCTAAGATCAAAGTGAACTTTATAAAAGTATAATGGTTTAATGGTTAAGCTCTAACTGCAAATATTAGTTCTGTTATAATAATACCTAGATCAATTGTAAAAATAGGTACAAAAAACTCTAGAAGATTTATCTTAAGGATAAAATAGTTCTAAGGTTGAGATGATGATCTGGGCATTAGGTATAATCTAGTGAAGTTAACAGGTTTGCAGGTTCAAAGAATTTAAAGTAAAATACTCAAGCAGAGATGTTAGATACAGCAATTGGTAAAGAACCTTCAGGCAGACTTCTTAAATAGGTAATATAGAAAAGTTACACATGTAGCCAATTGTACACTCTTCATGTAGTGGTTCACTAAACCACATTTACCATCATTAAATAAAATCAAAAAACCCAAAAAGTCATCTTAATATCAAAAAAAATAAAAGTTAATAGCAAAAAAGAAAAAATATATAACTAATATAATAAATAAACCTTTATATTATATATAAATTAGCAAAAATTCTTATTAATATTGAATGTATATAAAATAAAAAAAACAATTAACTAAAAATTTATAAAGTAAAATTATATGAAATCTCTTATAGCAAAATCATACAATAAGCTGACCAGTTAGATTTTAAGATTTTGTAATAATAATCTACTTAATTATTTTTCTAAAAATGGTTTCAATTTATAAAATTAATTAAATAATAATTTTCAATTATAATTTTTTTAAAATCACATAATTGCTCAATTATACCGTTTTGCTGCAGATGATTTTTTATATGAAATTTATACAAAGATTGCAAAAAAGAAATAAAAATCAATTTATTTAATTTAAATTTACATCTGTCTTCTAAGATGCAATATTTATAATTTAATCAATTAATGATTAAATTAAGAACATTTTAGTATTTTTTTTATAAACTATGACAATAATGTTATAATCTAACCTTGCAATTGATATAAATAATAAAACCTCTTTAAGTGCATGCTCTTGAGACTAAACTTTAATAACTTGCACTTAAAAAACAATAAGAAAAATTGCATTTATAAAGATCATAGCCTAAATTTAAGAGTGCATTTAAAGATGTACACTTATAAAGGGTGCATTTATAAAACTTTTAGTATATATCTTTACTGAAATTCTTTTTTCTAAAACTCCTACAAAAATGCTGCTATCATAGGTATGTCTTATACAACTGTCTTAAATATATCAATGTGATCTCTATTTAAATAAAAAATATTAAGTATTTGGAATATAAGTTAGAATATCTATTATTAATTAAATACGTATATTCTGATGAAAATAAGCTTTACATTGCACTCCAATTTTAAATGCATATATTTCTACTTCTAGATCTCTTTTATCACCATTTTTTCCTCTAAATTGACAATTTAATTGAGTATATGATTTGCTTCATAGTCATACTTAGTTAAAGCTAGCATATATCCTATCCATTATTAAACCCCCGAAATTTTATGTCTACGGACGAGATCCTTGAAAACTGAGAATGAGAAGAACGTTCATGTAATTAAACATGGCCCGCTGTGCTTTCGATTCTCAGATTATTTACATCAAGGTGACAGCGTTCCTTCAAATACATAATGACTTTACAAGACTCAATAAGAAAAACCTACCCTGTGTAATGAACCTTGACACCTAATCTTTTGAAATATTCTTCAAACTTATCTCCCATATGCTTCGATGCTTCTTTCTCTAATGAAAAGTCTTCCATTTTGATTTTAAGAGAAGGTGTCTACGTACACCTTCATCGGGTGGTGCTCATTTTGTCAACAATCAATTTACAAACAACCCATTTAACCAACAGTCAATCACCGACAAAGAATTCTGTTAATTCTCGTTAAGGCCATATTATTATAATTAGAGTTAAGGTTATTGCAATTTTTAAAAAAATTTGTTGGTGAAATGGGCTATCGGTAAGATCGTTGTCGGTGAAATAAAACTTGTCTATGAATTGATTGTTGTTCATCCACTTTAATATTATATCATCACTCCTTTTCGATGGGAACATTTCACAATTGCTTTGTCAAGAGGATATGCTTAAATTACTCGAATAATATTATCACAAGAAATAATATGTCGAAAAGCCATTTTTATAATGTGTTGAAACTATTATTTTCGGTTGCACCTCAAAACCTGCTTTAACCTTAAAATAAAAATCAAGCACTCAAAGATTTACGATAATCATACTACAGGCATACAGGCTTCCTGAATATGCTTTCCCATTCATACTAACTCCAATCAAGGTTTGGAAAATTGAATTACAGTGAACCTCAATAAGTATACCTTCTAAGTGCACACCCTCTCTAAATGCTCGGGCCTAAATATATACATGACCTCCATAAATGCACCCTCTATAAGTGTACACCCTCTCTAAATGCACGCTCAAATTCGGGCCCAAATACGGTAAAACCCCTCTAAGTGTACTCTCTTGGGACAGAATAATAAGAAAAAATGCATTTATGAAGGTCATGTATATATTTGGACCCGAATTTAAGTGTGCATTTAGAGGTGTACACTTATAGAGAATGCACTTATGGAGGTTTCACCGTATATATATGATCACCATAAATGCACTTTTTCTTATTATTCTCTAAGTGCACGTCGTTAAAGTTCGGTCCCAAGAGCTTGCACTTAGAGGGGTTTTACTTTATTGACTAAATTTAGTTTAGAAATTTCTATATTCTTGTAATAACCAAATATATAAATTAAAGTTCTGAAGTTGTACGAATTTCAACTCATTTTATCAAAGTATTTTGAGGTCAAAGTATTTTGAGGTTGAAATATGAAATAATATAACTACATGAAAAAATGCATTATATATTAGACTAGATAAAGTTTCGGTCTGGAATTGATATGAGTTAATTGATGACTTTTGTTAGGTCAGAAAAAAACGAATGTAACAATTTCTACTTGTGTCCTATTGGGATGTTCATATATATAGTTTCCTATTAAAATTAATAAAATTTTTTAGTACTCAACCCAAATATTCTTTATACTCACATACAATTAAGTATTAAACTTTCTAAATTATAGTAAATAATTAATAGCCAATAACCAGAACTTAATAACTTACTAAGTGCTTTAGTTGATAAATATTTTTATGCACATTAAATTAATGCAAATTAATTAATTCATTATACATACAGACTAAATGAATGCAAAAAAGCGATTTTGTTTAACAAACTAGAAATTGTTGTAAACTACAGTATCGATATTGCATAAAAAACGGTCTTTTACTCAATATTATTGATAATTAATATTACACCCTAAATAATTGAATAGTTTTAAAATTTTCTGATTTTATAATAAAAAATTAATAAAAAGTAATAAATAATTTACTTGCTAATCCAATAATAAAGCTTTTTTTTAAAAATTCCCACCGAATTATCCGGTGGTAATCATTTCACCGACAATCACTTCACTGACAAGTTTGTTTCACTGACAGCTCATTTCACAGACAAAGCAATTCTGATAGGGTCAGGCTAGAATTAGAGTTAAGGTTAGTGTAATTTATAAAAAAAGCTTGTCGGTGAATTAATTGAAGCTTTCGGTGAAGTGATTATCGGTGAAATGATACATATCCAGCTGACTTCAGATACAATAGTGTATGAATGCTTTATTTCAACCCCAATTCCTAAATAATATGCAGATTTTTTATAATAAATAAATGCTTTGCTCTTATCTTTTTCAATACCAATGCCATATTCATAAATAACCAGGTAACAGAACATTCCGTCTGAATTATTTATGTCTGCTGATTTTTGGCAATGACTAAACTTTAAATACATCGGTGACTTGAATAATTTCATCTGTAATTACTATGTCCCATAACGTCATTTTCAAGGCACAGACCCCAAATAAGCTAGTGTCTTTTACTAGCTGTCTTGTAAATATATTTTTTATTTGACTAGACACAAAAAATATATATTATTTGAGAAGAATGTAGTTAAATAATATCGATATATCATATTAATTATTGTCTCATGCCCAAACAAAAATAAATGACGATAATATCGATATGATTTCTTTAAACTGTGAAGTACAATATCGTTAAATGACAATAACAAAATTTCACATGATCAACCACAGGGCGTTTTACTATACTATGTAGATTTCTTTCAATTTTTTTTTAAGACCTTGATCTAAAGTTTCTTAATGACTGCTCGACTAGATTCAAGAAAATTTTTTATTATAATTCTATAAAGATGTAAATTAAATTTGAACAAAGAGGCGATTTCTATTCGTACATTAGTGTATGAAACGCGGGTACATATAATAACTCAAATTTTACTTATAAAACCACACTCATCGTGAAATTTTAATATAGTTTACAATTATTTTGTATTTAAGTTATGAATTAATAAACAATTATATTTGATAGCACAGAATGTTCTCATGTATTACCCTAGATACGTATAAAGTCAATAATTATACAAATAGAAATATAGAACTGTCATAAATTTAGAATTTACATAGGTTATTACAAATAAATGTAGGTTATAATAATGTTCTAAATTATATTTGAGTCATTAAAGAATTCAAATTTAACATATAGATTCTAAATTATTTGACTAATTATATTTACCTTGGAATTTAAATTACATTAAGGTTTTATTTATAATACATCACATTACAAATTAATTAAAAGTTTACAACTATATTGAAATCATTTTTTTTTATTTATTGCAGTTACTTTTTTACTTGTGAAAGTTGTATAATTGATATTTTTAAATACTTAAAAGTATTGAAAAAATACTATCTAATTTTTGAAAACTTTTTTTTAGAACCCAATAAATACAAGTAAGATTGAGTTAATTTTAATAAATTAAATTTATATGGTTTATTGATATTTCAATATCATATATAGCAAATACTGTATATTTTACCAATGCTAATTTTATATATTCTCATTATTGTATTTGTCAGATTTTGTAAAATTTAATATAAAAATATCAAAATTTTTACATACAATTAAGATTTTATATTGTCTATTAGTTTATTTGTTGTATTACAGAAGAAAAAAGTTGTAAAAAATGACAAAATAATAATAATAATAATAATAATAAACAATTTGCAATTTAAATATTTCGACAATAATAAGATGGAATATATTCTAATCATCATTATACGTATTAATCACATACATATTACAGTATTTGTATCAAATTTAGAATCAACTTAGATTTCATGTCAACTTGGAACTATATTTGGAATTTCGTTCAACTTAACAGTTAAGTAGATTCTAAATCCACAATAATTCCATTCTGATATACAACAGAAATAATATTAAGATTGCTCAGGGTATTATTCTTATAGTAATGCTTAATTGTTATAATAGATCAAAGTAAAGACCAAATGATGAGTAGTTATAATTAATTCTATGTAATTTATTGGATTCCTTTGAAGTTTTTGTAATTAAAATAATTTATTTTTTTATGTCCTTAACTGTAAATAAAAGTTGACTTTTACATTGTAAAATTTTAAATAAATTAATAGTCAATGTAGTCACCAAATGTTTGAATTATAAGTGCTACTAAAAGAAAAACCAAGCTTTGGACTTTTGAGTTTACAACTTAACGAATATCATATTTAAAAAGTCTGATCAATCGTTATATAATTACATAATATTTTATTACCAATAAAATTTTTTAGTAGCAGTTTTTTTTTCTTGACAATAAACGAACTGATCAGAGCTTACCGATCAGAATATTGAAACACATCGTGAGCTTACCGATCAGAATATTAAACACATCGTAGAACTTACCGATCAGAAACTTTAAACATGAACAGACACATCGTAGAGCTTTAATAATATAAATATATAATCAATGCACAGTAAATATTCAAATAAAAAGCGATATATGCTGATAATTTACGGATTCAGTTTTCTTGACAAAGAGGAGGCCAAATAAAGCTAGATCAAACATCTTACAACAAAGCATATAATTGATAGTCAAAGCCAGGTCAACCAAACAGTAAAAAGATCAACATGAATAAAATTGATATTTATTTAGCGAAAATGAAATGAAACGGTATGAGCATTAGCATGAGGCATAAGCAGCACTTGAGCAGAAACCAAGCAAAGAAACAAAAGCAATAAGTAGTACATGTGCATGAACATGAGGATAAGCATGAGCAGAAATAGATACAACGAAATTATTCCCGTGTAGGTAATTAATTAAAAAAAAAAAAATTTAAAGATTAACTATTGCATTATCGAAAGTATAATAAAACTCTTAATCAACCACTTTTAAGAAAAAAATTATTTGATTATTTTAAATAGATGGCGCCAAGAGAAAATTTATTGAAGTTTTAGGGATTATGACTGATAAATTGTAAATTTAAAAGTCAAATTGGAAGTTTTCCGGGTTTCTTTTGGCGGTACCTAAATTATAAAAAAAATAGGTTTAAAAAAAATTAGTGTAATGATAGGCGAGGAAATTAGCCAATCAAAATAAACCACGATGAGTAAAAATATTGCATCCATGCAATTTCCAAATATAGTATATTATGTTAGAAACCAGAGAAAGTCCGACACTTAAACTTTTATATATGTATGTATAACAAGTATAATGGTAAATATACTACTTTATATATGTATGTATAACAAGTAATGGTAAATATACTACGTACGTAATATTCGCCAAGAAAACTTATTAGGCATAGGTTTTAATAAATTTAATAAAAAAGTAACAAAACTGTAATTTCATCTTATCGAAGTTCATAGAAGCAAGAGCCCCGGGCAATGAGTTGTCATATGATTACTATTAAAAATAAACTTGTACCCTTAAATCGAATCTTGGAAGTTAATCGGCTAAAATTTTTTTTTGAACGGCAAATTTCAAATTTGTAGTTTAGTGAAATTTTTGAATAGAGAAATTAGTTAGATTGATTCTGAAAAAAGTAAGGGGTTTCGGATGAACAGCAGATCACGTGAATGGATAGAATCATAGAATCATAAACAAATTTTTTTTTTGATTAACCGTTTAAATAAAAAAATTACAATTTTAGTTTATAAAAAAATTATTTAATATTTTATTTATTACATAATTGTCTTAGATTATATTATTTGTTAAATATTTATTCTATTTATTCTATATATACGTAGTAAATAAAAACATACGTAGCGGTATTAAAAGAAAAAAAAAAAATTTTTTTTAAGCAAATCATAATGATAACTAGAAAAATTATTATAGACAAGATTTGCAGAAAATTCATTTGGCGATACACATATATATTTCTAAAAAATCAAATTAACTGATATGTATAATATATAACGAAGTCAGATATACATACATACAAGTTTACTAATAATAACAAAAAAGTCGAATAATCGAACTATTTTAAGGGATAAAAACTGTGAGTAGTTTATCATTACTAAAATCATTACTAAAAGAGAGAAAAACAAATGAACCGAAAATTTGGAAAGGAGTTAAATTCCAGAAATGAATTTCCTTTACGGAATTTAGTTATATCTTATGCAAGAATTAAAGTTACGCATTACGTATTTTTTTTTTTTTTTTTTCATTACGCCAATTTTACATATTTTAAACTTATATAATAAAAATAGCGGCTTTTTATGAATTAGTTAAAAAAAAAAACGAAAATTTCAAGTTAGTGTATGTAACTTACGGAGTGGGAAGAATTTCCTGTTTATAAGTGATGAGCTGATTGTTTTTTGTAACAGGTATGACTAACAAAACATAAATCGTGATTAGCAAGATAAAACTTGATTTATTTTGACTGATCCAGAAGGAGAATTTCAAATTAATGAATACTTTAAAGCAGAGAGAAGGTACGAACATATTTTTTATCAATAAGGGACATGGCGTTGAAATGCGTTGAAATGCATTGAAACAGGCTTAATAATTTATGCATTGGTAAGAAAATCGCGTCCTAACAACTAGGAGTCTTGTTCTCCTAGTTTAAATGCTATACTAAACTTGATTGAGAAACTTGATTGAAAAAGATGATTGAGTAAGATGATTGAGTAAGATGATTGAGTAAGATGATTGAGAAAGATGATAAAAAGAGTCATATCAAAAAAAACCGGATTATCAAAGCCAAAAAAAGCCTCATCAACAAGAAACCGAAAATACGAAACTAAAGGACGCCCAAAAGACCTTTAAAATACAATATAGAATGTAAATCAAAAGTCTCCGAGAAAATTTATATATAAAAAGAAAAAGATGCATTAGTTGGAAAACGAATTGATTAAAGGAAATAAAAGGTCACGCAGTTTACCAAGTTCGGAAGAGTCAACAAATAATCAAGGACTGTATACCGACATCACTATGAATTGATTACATAGAGGGTAATTCTTAAATGAGTATTAAATGAGTAGAAGGGATAAAAGAATTTAATAAACCCTTACAGGTATAAGCCATAACTTAATTTTTAATAATCATTATCGTTATTCGTCCCACGAGTTGTTACTTAAAATGTTTTTCGTATGTATGCCTGGAAAGAAATTACCAAATTTAGAGAATCATAAACTGAGAGATGGGATCACAGAGTTTATCATTGCGTAGCAAGAATCATAGTTAAACTGAACACAAATGCATGCATTTCTTAATGTTTATATTTCACCAACATGTTAACACGCGTGGGCTTTCAATGATTTCATTAAATATACATGCATGCGTACAAATGCATACAAGTGCATATAAATGCATATAAACGCATATAAATGCAATAACAAAAAAGCATACAAAAGTGTAAGGGAACGCATATCCAATGAGTAAACACATCTCTACTTGGAATATCTTGTTAAAAAAGGCTATTTATAGATTTATACGAAGAAAAATTTGAAAGTCATTACTTTTAAAATTTTGTCTTTGAATTGTAAGTGATATGATCGAACAAACGCCTGGTTGGGGAAAGTACATTAATTAAAACAGACAAGATATGCCTCATAAAGTTATGCGTAATATGTTGAAGATTATTGTTTGTATGACCGAACACTACTAGATAAACGGTTATCTAAACGACTATCGTGATTGTGCATTATTGTTATCAACCCGACTAACTTTTACGTTTGTGATTAAAGATTTTTCATCGAATAAGATGCCGGTCGATTTAATGAGTAATAATGATTAATAATATTTAATCATAATTAATAATAATTTATGATAATTAATAATAATGATAATGAATGAGTAACCATTAATACGTAACGATAATTTACATTAAAGGTAGACAAGCAGTTGCTACTACGTGTAGTGATGATTTTATGTCAGGAAATTTTACTGGTACAAGTTCCATTACACTTTCTATACATTCTTTGTTTTAAAATAATAATGAAAAGTTGGTACATAATCATTTATGTGATGAAACAAACTCGGTTCGTGTTACTATTTGTTATGTAATTTAAGTCAACATAAATGCAGGCGAATTCCCGACGTTTCAATAAAGTTCGATGATTTATGTTATATACTGTATATACATCCGACGAGTGAAAGGCGCATATATTATGATACTTTATTCGCGTATCTCCGAACATTCAAAACTTTGAATGTGATAATAGTACAAAACTTGTTAGTATGGTCCTAAATGCGAGGGTGATCTTTTGTTTTTGGTTGGTCTTAAATGCATATATACATACTTAGGACATACCTAGGACATACTCAGAACATACTTAGGTTATACTTTAAGTTGTTATACTTTAAGTTATACTTGAGTTATACTTGAATTATACTTGAGTTATACTTGAGTTATATAGTTCACACATTGTAATCTCGGTAATACGTGAATGCTGTGTTTTATCATTGGCATACATATCAATATTTATCAATATATAAATCAATATATATCAATATATATCAATATTTATCAATATATATCAATATTTATCAATATATATCAATATTTATCAATATATATCAATATTTATCAATAAATATCAATATTTATTTTGATAAATATCAATATTTAACTTTTTTTTATAATTAAACTTATTTATATATTCTATTATATAGCAAAAATACCTCTCGATTTTCATACGATACCTTGAATATGGTAATCACTGTTTGTAGATGTTTCATGTTTAAAAACTCGATACAAATCATTAAAGCCGCATCTTCGGCGCCACCCGTATGATCCTTTACTTTGAAAGTCGCGTTACTTACTGTAAAAAAAAAAACTATAAACGGAACAGTCAATTTATTATTATCGCTTTGAGAAATTTCCAAGTATCGTAACTTAATCGTAACCTGTTCGGTATTTTTAATCTTTCTAAAATTCTCAGTCTGGTTCTATAGTGACACGGTCACGGGATGTTTATTCTAAATTTTTAAATACGTGTATCTTTTGTAATGCACGTGTAATTTGACGGTTGTACAATAGTTATACAGTATCTTCATAAAGACATAAACAATAATAAATATAAATACATAAATACATTTGAGTCAATATCGTAGCGCGCCCTTAGTAATTATTTGCACACAACTTTTTTTTCAAATCAATAATCAATAAGCGATACGATACTTACGCAATATCGATACGCAATAAGTAATAACAATAAGCAATTGGTACGCCAAAAATATAAATACCTTCCCCCAACACAATTTCAAATAAGGGCTTTACTGTTTACACACAATATTATAATAAAATATTACAAAATCTAGTTATTTAATTGTATGTATGCGCCTCAAGGTTTTTACGTACCTAAATATTTACCTTTTTTTTTTTCCCTCAACAACGCACAATTATAATTATTAACAATTTTAAAAAGGTAATGATCATTAACAATAAAAATATTCCGATTTTTTATAAATCGTTGATAACCTTGCCGGTTTGTTTTTCAAATCATATAAATCATATATATTTGATATATATATTTTTTATTTTACAAATATAAAAAAAATATATTATTTAAAATATTTAAATTAAAAAAAATATATTTATTTATTGTTTCTCCTTCCATTTTGAATTTTTTTTTTTTTTTTTTTTTCACGAATATCTTTAAATACCCCTTCTAACTCGGTTCGTCGTACCTTCTTTTTAATTTTGTTTGTTATAAAACTTTTTTTAGTACAATACACTAGTAGTAAACTAGTAGTAAATAAATCAATCTTACTAAATACACTACAAGACAAGTGAAAAGCGAAAATGGGTCATAGACAATCAAAGAACGTAATATCTAGCAATAACAACAACAACAACAAATTAAAGTCCAAAGTGGAAAAACGAAAAAGATTTCGTTCTTTGCGTTCAAATTCCAATGTACAAGTTTTAACCATTGATGAAAGTATTAATGAAGCTTGGCGCTTCACCGGTAGTGGTAAACGAATCCATTATGCGAAAAATTCTAAACTACTCAATAATTCTATCACCGAAGAAATTGAAAGATTACAGAAGCAACATTGGTTCTATAAACGTATTTGGCAAAGTAATTATTCGGCTCCTGTTGAAGAAAAATTAAAAGCTGGTGGTGCTAAAGTTCTTGATATTGGGTATGATTGTATGATTTTTATTGTTTTTATTTTTTTCGTTTTTGGTTACCACTTTTCTTAAATTATATATTATATATATTAATAGTTGTGGTCCTGGTACTTGGATAATCGAAATGTCTGAAATGTATGAACAATCCACGTTTACCGGTGTAGATTTCTCTACTATATTTTCTCAAGAAATGGAATCTATAAATTCCAAATTTCTTCAAGCGAATATACTCGATAGTCTTCCATTTTTAGACGATACTTTTGATTTTGTTCGTATGGGTTTATTAATAACTGCTTTCACTGCTACTGAATTGAAAGAAAAAGTTATTCCCGAAATTGTAAGGGTTACTAAGCCAGGTGGTTGGATAGAATTGATGGAAAGTGATGTACAATATTTTAATGAAGGTCCTACAACTGTGCGATTAACAAATGCACGTATGTATTTATTATTATTATTATTATTATTATTATTGTTATTCGGTCCGATTATGTAATTTATTAACTTTTTTTGTAATTAATTTTGTGGCGTAGTCACCTCGTTCATGAACTCAAAGGGAATATCGGATCCTCTTAACTCATATATTCCAAAGGCCATGGAAGATAACGAAAAAATACAGAAAGGTATTCAAACGGAAGAAAAGACGTGTTTCCTTGGAAAGTGGGCTGGTGACCTTGGTAAAATGGTAAGCTTTATTTCATATATCGGATATTGTTATTGTTATGGTCATGTGACCACAGTTCTTTCGATTATGTATTTGTATTGAAATGTATATTTATTTATTTGTTTGTTTTATAGGCTGTTGAAGATATCGCTAATGGATGGACTGCAATTAAAGCACCATTATCTAAAGCAATGAAACTAAAGTCTCAAGAATACGATGAATTGGTTACAACGTTTGCCAAAGAAGTCGAACAAAACAGAACATCTTTCAAGAACTGGCGATTTGTTGCCCAAAAGATTGGTTCTACGTCGACATCTGATATAACTATTACTACCACCGCTTAATGCATTTAATGTATTCTTGATATTAATTGATATTAATTGATATCGATATTATAGTAATTAATTGTGAAAACTATAAAAAAAATTTTTTCAACTCATAGTACATATTCACTAATAACAAAATACATTTCATTTTTCTTTTTTTGTCTTATTTTTATTTTTTATTTTTAATCTTTGTAAATTTATTTCGCCATTTATTTATTTAATGGTCTATGTAACAATTAGTCAAAGATGTTCTTGACCACTGAAGATTCTATAACGATTTCGGGAAATCGTTATCATAATTCTTTAAAGTAATTCTTTAAAGTTATTTTTTAAAGTTTACGAAAGTGGGAATGGTGAACCACATTAACAAAATTCAATTATGTACCAATTCAAATTTAGATATGTAGAGAACCAATGTAATTAATTATATATATTGTATTATTGTACCTATTGTATTAGTATAGCAGATAATTTTTCACGTGTGAATATTTGATTTACAAATAATAATATTTTTAAGTTTTTTTAAACGTTAATTACATCTTTCTTCTTTTATGACTTTAACGTTAAACTATGTTTCTTTTTTTATTAAACTCAAACAAAATTGAGGCTTATTGGATGTTCCTTTCTAAATCCAGAAATTTAGGATTTTTTTTTCTTTTTTTTTTTTTTTTTTTTTTATACCAGATATTGTAACATTTCATAGTGATAGTGGCGTGGTGCACACTCAAATATAAATAAACATATATTTTATTTATTACTTATTCTATAAGCTTCTTTTTGCTTCTTTTTGTTTTTTTTTTAATCAGCATGTGTTTTTATATGTACGAATTTGCAATTATTTCTTACTATAGTATATCGCACACAATAAAACCTTTTTTTTTCACATTTTCAATCAATTTATTTGAAATAATAGATAGATAGATGTTATCGTGACGATCGTTACTCATAGGGTGGTCATTACCCATAATGCGGATCAAATAAGATCGTAGTTAGAGTATAGTTAGAGTATAATCACATTGCTCGCGTGCTCACCTTCTATGTCGACGGTTTTATACGTCACAGTTTCTAAATTTATATTTAATAAGACCAAATTAATATATTCATCTCATCAAAAAAAAAAAAAAAAAAAATTGTTTTTTTTCCTACAGATATCCAAAAAAGAAAAATAAAATAAAATTCCCCTATGCTAATAAATTAATAATCATTAGCGATAAGAAATGTAAATGTTTGTAGTACACTTTAGATGATGATGGGCGTCTTAAACTTAATTCATTTATCGGTCATAGAGATTTTCGCAAACATCACTTATAAACTCTAATATGAGAAGTTTTTTTTAATTATAAAGAAATACTATAAAAGAAATACTATAAAGAATCAAATATATATATTATTAAATTCTTATTTAAGATTATTTTCGAGAAATTAAAAATAAGTACACATAACACATAAACACTGTAATTAAATATTTTTGGGTTAATTAAAAATTCTTACGTATACGTATATGTATACGTAAAGATACTTTAGAAAAAAAATTTTTTTTTTTGATTCCAATCGGAATTTATAAATGGTTAAAGAAACTAAACTATATATGTTGTATCATATGATCGATTATTTAAAGTCTTTTTTAATCTATCGATATACATGAATTACAAATGTGTAATCTATGTTTTGCACCCTCCCTAATTGCTCTGTGTCCTAAATTCTCTATGTGTATGCTCTATGTGTACCTTCTTTAAATGCATGCTTCATCTAGCCCTAACTTTTTATGATTTTGTTAAAAAAAATAAATTTTTTTTTACCCTCCCATAAATGTATACTCTTAAATATCGTTATTTAACGTGATTTTTCGAAGGTCATTAATTACTTCTTAAAGAAAGTCTGATCATTTCTTTATTCATAGGTTTATTTTTCTTTGATTTTACTAAATTTGTCTTTTGATGATGTATGATATCGTTATCAATGAACTACGTACATACGTAGAAGTCATCATTTTAAACAGTACTAAATAATAATATATTAGTATATGTAACTAAAATTGAATAAAGTCCGTGTTTGCATATGTACTTCGATACTACGTAATACAGTCAACTATGAATATGTTATACGTATTAGTAAAAATTCTTTTTTTCTTTTTTTTTTATTTTATTTATTAAATAAACCCAAATTTCCGTTAAACGCATCCATAGTTAGCTTTATTTTATAAATGGTTACGTAACGAACTTTAAAGTGCATTTATTTCTTTTAATTCAAATTAAAAATTTTGGTGGAAATTTATACCTTGTTACTTTAAAAAAAAAAAAAAGTATTATTTACCGAATTTTTATGTATAATTATGTTTTTGTGTACCACTTGTAAAAAAAAAAAATTTATTTGTAATACATTTTTTGAAAATAAAATTGTAAATACTTTGAGTAAAAAAAAAAAGAACTTGGAATTATTATAGTTAAAATTATAATTACGATTTTACAGTACAGACAACTTAGTTCTAACAAATTAAATTTGATAAAATTTAATTTGTTAATTCTTCAAAAAAAAAATAGTAAGCACAAATATTATATTGAAATGTTAATTTAAATCAAACTTAACACATTCATGTTCTTAAATTTTTTTAAATTGATTATAAAAAAAGGTTAGAACAAGTTAAAGTTAGAATATTTTTATAATTAAATATGAAATTTTTTCACCTTTTATATATGAAAAAAAGGTAAATTTGGTCACTTTAAATTATTAATTTAATTTTTGTATATATTAAAATTTTAAAAGTTTGTTACTATTATTATATATATATAAAATAAATGTTAAACCTGGCTTCTAAAAATTTTTATATTAAAACTAAATATTTTACATTGAAATTAGTTTAATAATTTTCTAATAATAAAAATTATAAATAAACTTAGTAAAATAGTTAAATTATTATTGTTAAATAGCAAAACATAAATTTAAATCTTATTAATTATAATATTATTAATTATAATATTTAAAAAATTAAACTAAAAAATAGCAACTGCTTTTCGTTAATTAGTTGAATTAAAATATTTATAACTATAATTATATTAACAAACATGGCCTTACTGTTAATATTTAAAAAAAAAATTTATATTAACAAAACTAAAAAATTAAAAATATTTGTAAGAATACAAAAAAAACATTAAACAATAATAATCTAAATCAAAAATAATTTTTTAGTTATAATTAAGTTAATATATATTATTGGTTTAATATAATATTATTTAAGTTTAAAAAATTTATAAAAAATTTAATTTTAATTTTGCTTATATTTACTTTTTATATTAAAAAGGTTTATAATAACATTTTTTAATTATATATATTAAATTAATTAGCAAAGAATAGTAATTCTAGTGTAGTAGTCAGGTTGTTATTCTCTAAGTAGTAGGTTTAAGGTTCAAATTCCACCTACAATGAAATTTGGAAATTAACCTATGTTACAGTAAACTGTTTCTTAACAATCAGTTAGATTTGTATATCTGTAACCTTAAGTTACATCATCTTAAATAGAAGCTCAGGGCATCTATACCAAGTATAATATTATACATATATAGAGAAATGTTAATAACTGGTATTGCATAAGACTTTGGTACAAACCTATGATAAGAATACCTGGCATAGTAAACTAAGGAACTGAAGAGTTAAAAGCCTACTTGAAAATTTCTGATTAAAGAGGTAGCATGAACTTTTGACAATATAGTCAGACTGATGGAAGCTTATGAAACATTTCAAATGAATAGACAGATAAACTAGATATCAAGATGTGTAAAAAAGCATATGACCAACCAGGTTGTCAGAATCGATAAAGAAAAAGAATACATAAATATACTATACTAGGCTATTTGGATTGGAAGTCATAAGAGTTCTGTTAGTCCTAAGTAGCAGTTAGTAAGGGATAATGAAGAAGATATTATAATAATAGGTACTGAGGTTCTAATGAACTTTACAAAAGTAAAAATAGTATAATATAATAGTTAAACAGATAACTCTTGTAACTGCAAGTGTTAGGTAACTATAATGTGTTGCATAAAACTAAATCAGCTGTGTATGAGATATAAAAAATTCTAGTAAATTTTTTGTTAAGAATAAACTAATTCTAAGAATCTCAAAAGCATTAGATACTTTGGATGAATATAGTCTAGAAGAAGTTTCTATGATCACAAGTCAGATTATATATGCAGAGGGTTTAAATAGACAAGACCTGTATTTGGCTTGCAGGTATGGCATCTAGTATAGAATCTGTATAATAATATATAGGCAGACTACTTAATTTAGACACCAAAAGTACATATGTGACTAGTTGTAATCTTCTATATATGAAAGCCCCTGAAGGCATTTGTGACTAAATACTTAAATAAAAAAAATTGATCCTCAAAGGCAAGAACTTTAACATTAAAAAAAAATTAAAAATTAATTAGCTAATATTTAATTAAGCTAATTATTTGTTTTAATTAATTTTTTTATTATTAATTAAATTACTACTAAATAGTATAAAATTAAAATAAGTTTTTTAATCATATAAAAATTATATAATTAGTAAAATAAAAACTTTTTTTACCAAAATTTAAATAACAAAATAGTATAAACTTTTAATAATATTACTTATAAAGTTTTGCAAATTTGATTTGATTTAATTTAATTTTAATTTAATTAAAATTTTAGATTCAAATCAAATTCAAATCTGAAATTTACAAATTAAATCAAATTCAAATAAGATCAATTTCAATTTAATTTGACAAATATTTTATAATTATTGTATAATAGCTATTAATAACTATATTTTTATATTATATTCATAATTATATTATTAAATTAAACTACATAAATATATATATTATATATTGTATTTTTTAATTAAACTTTTTTATATAAATTATTTTTAAAAACTAAAAAAAGATGATAAAATAGTAATAATGTAAACTATACAAATATAAAAATTTTTAGCATAGTTATTAATAATATAACTATATAATAATTAATTAAATTTTTTTTTTTAGTATTAAAGTGACCTT